TTCTATGTATCAATTATTCCATGATCAGATAGAAACCACAAGACTCAATTAATTTTTGAAACATTCCATAGAATAAACCCAATACTGTGCCCAATTTTACGCAATAAATATCATAATTAATAATGTCATGTTCCAGGTGGCTCGATCCTAGCTTCCATAGGCTCCTTCCAGCAGATGTGGATATCATCACAAGAGTATGATGAAGGCGGCAAAGGGCAGCTCGAGAGGAAATGCCCTTAATGTATAAACAATTGTAAATATACATACATACACATTTTTATATATATAGTAGTTGAGGATAGCTGGTATTTGTGTAAAGAAATGATCTAGACTTGGGAGCAAAGACGGAGCGACTAGCAGTTCTTTTTGTCATTTTATCTAACAATCTACAATAACAACAAAATGCTCTCATTTTAAAGGCAACTAAATTACCTTTTATACGACATATGTTACCAATTGGGTACTTGCCTTCATCAAAAATAAATTATTTCGACTGTTCAATACAATAAAATATTAAACAATAATCACACTCTCATTAATTGATTTTATGACCAACTTTCATTTTAGTATATTTTCAGCAATTTAAAAAAAAATAAGTATACTGTTTGACGCTAAAAAAACGTGACGTCACAATACACAATCTCGTACAAAATTCATAGAAAACTCTCGTTTTTGACAGTTCGAAAAAACTATTGATTTTGACTAGTTGGCAAGTACACAATTAATAAAATATGTACTTGTATCAGAAAATATTATGATGTCATGGTGGCCCGGAGGCTTAAGACCAGCTTCTCATGCATGAGGGTGCTGCCTCGAAACCTATCAACGGCAAGTACCAATGTGACTTTTTCCGAGTTACATGTACTTTCTAAGATTATCTAGACACCACTGACAAACGGTGAAGGAAAACATTGAGCTTATAATTTCTAATTATAAGATTGTAATCGCCAACCCGCATTGAGCAAGCGTGGTGATTAACGCTCCAGCCTTCTCCGTGTGAGATGATGCCTTTGGTCAGTAGTGGCCACTTATAGGCTGTTGATGATGATATCCCGGTGTACATGGGATCCATCACATAATTGGTTATATGAGGTGTTACATTGTATATCTGCAGCTCTGTCTACTACTAATAACTTTGTTGAGATGTATATTAAAAATCTCAGTAGTAGCACTGGAATTGTGCCCGGTGTATGGCAATAGGCTCACCCCCTATTACATGGGACTCATAACATAAATAGTAAAAAGTGGGCGTTACATTGTACAGTGGCATTAAGTGCACCTCTGGCTACCTCTTCGAGCATAAAAGGCGTGATGTTATGTGTATTAAAAACAAAGGTTTGTTTTTGAATGTCTGGAAAGCTACTATGTGTGAGGTATAGTATTAATGCATATTTTTATTCATGTTTTAATGAGCCATAATGGAGGTTGTTGTGGAAATATTTAGATGACATTGTATGACCATCAAGATTAATGCTACGGATTCACGGCGCGTTTTTCTCCCGCCCCGGTTGCGGGCCCGCTACCTGTAGAATACAGATATGTATGTAAAAAATTAAAGCACATTTCACGGCGCATTTTAGTTGCGATTGTTTGCGGCTCCCGCTGCACCGGCGGGCGGCTGCACCCGCGCGCTCTGGGATCAGTTGGCGATTGGCGATCGCAGGGTAGTTTCCTAAATTTTATTCTAATGTCCGTCTGGTACATTAATTTAAAACTTTAGACGAATTTTTTTCTTTTCTCACAAAATTAAATACTTTCGAAGATATAATAATTTGAAATATTGTGTGACGTCACAGCGTGCCACATTTTGTAGCACGTTATGACGTAACGACTCCTAAACTTACCGCCATTTTATCTAAGTATTGCAACTGAATACGAGAAAATAAAAAAATACGTGTCTAATATTTTTTCATTATCTAACTGACGGACTAATTAGATTTGTAATAGATACCGTGGAAACTACCCAATGGACGGCTGGTCTGGAACTCAACTGATGGTGTTAACAACCCGGCCGGTCTTGCGATAACCGGCGCGGGTGAATATCGCGTCGTGAGTCCGCAGCGTAAGAGGGAGTACCAACTATCTGGTCGATCTGTCGTCAGGAAGAGGAATACCAATTACTAAAGACCAATAAACGGAGCAAGATAAATAAAACCGTTTAGTACACTAGACACTAGAGGCTCATATTCATGAGCAGTCTTCTGCGACCCACGACGTGGCGACTGCATGGCTTGAAACTAGTCGAATCCTCGTCAAACTGAACAAGCCGAAATCATAATAATTAATATAGTATTGTCTCACCTTTATTAAATTTATACATGTGTATAATCAACCATTCAATTTGGCATATTGTCAATGAAACCTTTTCAATAAATTGTAAATTTTATGACACATTTTGGTGTCATTAAGGCTAAGGATTCACGGCGCGATTTCCTCCCGCGCCCACCGTGTTTTGGGCCCGCGCCTGTAGAAACAGATATGTACGATTGTTTGCCTGAGACGCCTTTTTCTCTTTTACAGTGACTTTCCCTTATTAAAATAAGGTTGTATGTATTGTATACATATCGCCAAAATTGTTAATGTACCGCTATCCTCAATGTTTTTATAGGCAATAAGCAGTGGGGTTTTTACCAAACAGTGGGCAAATGACTATAAAGGGTCTTAGTAGGTGACGCTCTGTAGCTTCTACCTACCATGGAACAAAGGCATGAGTTTACTTGTATTATCAGATGGTATTCAAACTTTCTATATGGCAAAGATGGCTCTGAAAACTTAGAAGACAATAGTTTGTCATTACCTAACTAAAATTATGTCCAAGCTTATCCTCATTGGGTTATGTAGGCATGATACCATTTATTTAGTGCAATAAATTCACCCTCTATTACATGGGACTCATAACTGGAGAAAAATGGTTGTTACATTGTATACATACATTTGTGCTCCTCTGACTACCCCTACAGAGATAAGACTTGACCTTTATGTCATGTTATTATGTTAACGCTAAATATTTTTCGTAAAATTCTATCAATGAATTAATAACTGGGTCCCTCATTAATCGTTGGGCCTCTGTTAATAGACAGGTCTAGAACAAACCTCACTGCTTGCTCCATCATTTTAAAGTTGTAGTGATAAAATAATTATTACTGTAATCAGTGTGAATGATTATCGTGTATTATAATTAAATGGATTTTTTAATGACTGAGAATAAATAGATGTAAGGTGATTTTGTGTTTTATTTTTAAAAATATGGACCCTTATCAATGTAAGTAGGTATATTAAGTTTGTCTCAAATATTTGGGTTAAGCAAATAATTATATTTTTTGTCGATGTTAGAAATTGACAGTACGGAGTCTAGAATATTGGTTAATTTTTAACATATTTCATGTTTATTATTAAAGACTGCCTCATAGGCCGGTAGGTAAGGGGTCTCGGGTTCGATTCCCGGGTCGGACAAAGTATTACTGAGTTTTTTTCAAAAATCTCCGTAGTAGCTCGGAGTCTGAATATGCGCCCGGTATATGGCAATAGGATTACCCCCTATTACATGGGACTCATAACATAAATAGTGAAAAGTGGGTGTTACATTGTACTGTGGCAGTGCTGTAATATGCACCTCTGCCTACCCATTCAGGGATAAAAGGCCTGATGTTAAGTTATTGAAAGAATAACACTTCAATCACATTATACAGTTTATTAATTTAAATCACTTTATTTTACAAGCATATACTTAAATTAACTTACAATATTTAAGAAATAAATAAAGTTTGTAGCAAAAATGGCGTAGCTTTGGCTTACATTTTAATTAAGTTCTAAACTTAAACTACTGAAATCTAGAATGAATTGCTTGTCCAGAATAAGAACTATACGAAACAGAGACGATAAATATTTTTCAAATTAAGAATAAAATTGGACGCTTATTTCTCTTTTTTACAAACTCATCGAGTGATTAAATGTATATTATTACCAACACAAGTGCAACATGGAGAAATCATTTTCATACGTGAGAGACTTCTTGTCGGTTCAAGGTTTAAATTATTTATTTCGACATAACTAAGAATACGTGTCTAAATATTGTTCTATCTTCAATCGAACTAAATGGATATTTTGATACTTTTTAATCGTCAACACTATTGTTTCTATCAAGTCAAAAGCATTACAAACTAAATGACAACATGATTGTTATTTATTTACAGCTTTATTAGATACATTAAAGTATAAATGGAATAAATAGTCCAATTTTGAATATATTTTAATCACATGATTTATATCTCGTTTAGACTATTTCACATACATGTACTTACAATAATGTTATTTCCATATTGATGAAAAGGATCGGTATTGTAATAAGATGACGTCTGATTAAAGACTATGTAAAAAGACAATGCGTTTACTTCAAGTAACTTCGTATTAGGAAACAGTTCAACATATGCATGACATAAAATCACGCCTTCTATCCCCGAAGGGGTAGGCAGAGGTACACATTATACCACTGTACAATGTAACACCTACTTTTCACTATTTATGTTATGAGTCCCATGTAATAGGGGGTGAGCCATATGCCATATACTGGGCACAATTCCAGAATCCGTGCTAATACTGAGATTTTTTTAAAACCCAGTAATACTTTTCCCGACCCGGGAATCGAACCCGAGGCCCCTTGCCCGGCCAGTCGCACTTGCGACCACTCGGCCAGCTGAGGCTAGAAAATTGTATTATTTAACCCATATATCCCCACTCTCCACTAACATTACATTCCATTATAGACCTTATTTCCAATGTTTAGAGACTACTTTTGTATGACCAAATTCAGGGATGGATTTCAAGGGTTAATTATTTTATGTTAAAGGGCTAGTTAAACCTATAAAATGTTTAGCTGCTTTATTTTAGTATGTACTGAATATTGCATTCGATGATAGGGCTGAACGTTTGTCTCTTAGGAAAAAGCCCTACTTATCTATAAGAAAGAACAAACTGAATGTAGAACCTGCCGTGTCCCGCAGTGTGCGCGGCCGCCGCGGCGTGCGACGCGGACGCGCGGCCCGCGCTGTGGGGCTCCGTGGTGGCGTGCGGCGGGCTGGCGAGCACGCCGGGCTGGCTCGAGCGCCTCGCCAAGGACCTCGCCGCGCGCGCGCCCAGCTCGCATCGCCTCAAGACCACCGCCGCGCCCAACCCCACGGAGCGACGGTTCGCCGCCTGGATCGGTGACCTACTACTACTCACTTTATAGCATAAGCCGGTAAACGAGCAGACGGATCACCTGATGGGAAGCAATCGGCGTCGCCCATGGACACATGGAACACCAGAGGCGTTACTAGTGCCTTACCGGCCTTTTGGGAATTAGGAGGATCGTTGGGGATTCAGCAATTGGAGAGATTGGGGAAGGGGAGGGTAATTGGGCCTCCGGTAACCTCACTCACACGACGAAACACAAGGCAAGCGTTGCTTCACGTCGGTTTTCTGTGAGGCCGTGGTATCACTCCGGTCGAGCCGGCCCATTCGTGCCGAAGCATGGCTCTCCCACACTTGATATTAATCAAATTGTTTGATACATATTTTATATGATAGTCATAAAATTCTTCTTCATCAAGTTGACAAACGAGGGCCTCGTTGATTGTCGAACAAAAATATCACACTTTTTCAGGTTTTCAATAATAATGCATGGTAATGGATCTACTCTCTATTATATGGATCCTGTTGCAATAGTGCAATTCTAATATAATACACACCTCTACATGCCTTCGATGAATATTTTAAAATGTTGAATATTCTGTCTAAAGTAGATTCAATGTATTAGTCTTTGATTATATAATGTCTAGGTAGAGCGTCACCATACAATAGCAACAAAAATTAAGTTCCAAAATTTCTCGCGTGTGTGCGTGCGGCTTGTGGTTTACACGGAGCAAATTATCCCATCAAATTTATATCTCCCATTAATATTTGGGTACATATACCATTTAAAAGTAAAATAAAAGAATGTCACCGTCTCTTTGAATTTGATTTTAGAGTTTTGTTTATTGCACATTTTGTTGATATTTATGTTTTGTCATAATATAAGGAATTTATTTTCCGTATGAAAAGAATAATTAAATGTTACTATTAAGACATTTTTTACATCATTTGATATCTAGACATTATATAAATCGGAGTCGCGGAGAACCTAACGGGTAACCGGGGCTCCGGCTCGGCGTGCAGGAGAAGGAACGGGGTGGTTTTTAGTCAGTAAGAATCTGACACCATATTATACACTGCATGAATTTTTGTCTGACAGATTCGTTAACAGTTGAAGCCCATTTTATGTTTTGATGCAAAATGAAATTAATACAAGTTTCATCATTCAATCAGTATTTAATATTATAATGTATAGCTACTGCAATTTATATACTTTGTCACAAACTATTGTATGCCTAACATGGTGGAGCAGTGCCAGAACACAACAACCTTTAGAACAACCTTTGTAACCACTGTCTCACAATAAAGATCTTTGACTTTGACTTTGACTCCCTCCCGCCTCACCCAGGCAGGAGCAGACATTCTATGATTTTCCCCCCTTAAAAAAAAGACATTATATAATCAAAGCTATTAGTAAATTCTATGTATCAATTATTCCATGATCAGATAGAAACCACAAGACTCAATTAATTTTTGAAACATTCCATAGAATAAACCCAATACTGTGCCCAATTTTACGCAATAAATATCATAATTAATAATGTCATGTTCCAGGTGGCTCGATCCTAGCTTCCATAGGCTCCTTCCAGCAGATGTGGATATCATCACAAGAGTATGATGAAGGCGGCAAAGGGCAGCTCGAGAGGAAATGCCCTTAATGTATAAACAATTGTAAATATACATACATACACATTTTTATATATATAGTAGTTGAGGATAGCTGGTATTTGTGTAAAGAAATGATCTAGACTTGGGAGCAAAGACGGAGCGACTAGCAGTTCTTTTTGTCATTTTATCTAACAATCTACAATAACAACAAAATGCTCTCATTTTAAAGGCAACTAAATTACCTTTTATACGACATATGTTACCAATTGGGTACTTGCCTTCATCAAAAATAAATTATTTCGACTGTTCAATACAATAAAATATTAAACAATAATCACACTCTCATTAATTGATTTTATGACCAACTTTCATTTTAGTATATTTTCAGCAATTTAAAAAAAAATAAGTATACTGTTTGACGCTAAAAAAACGTGACGTCACAATACACAATCTCGTACAAAATTCATAGAAAACTCTCGTTTTTGACAGTTCGAAAAAACTATTGATTTTGACTAGTTGGCAAGTACACAATTAATAAAATAAATACTTGTATCAGAAAATATTATGATGTCATGGTGGCCCGGAGGCTTAAGACCAGCTTCTCATGCATGAGGGTGCTGCCTCGAAACCTATCAACGGCAAGTACCAATGTGACTTTTTCCGAGTTACATGTACTTTCTAAGATTACTAGACACCACTGACAAACGGTGAAGGAAAACATTGAGCTTATAATTCTAATTATAAGATTGTAATCGCCAACCCGCATTGAGCAAGCGTGGTGATTAACGCTCCAGCCTTCTCCGTGTGAGATGATGCCTTTGGTCAGTAGTGGCCACTTATAGGCTGTTGATGATGATATCCCGGTGTACATGGGATCCATCACATAATTGGTTATATGAGGTGTTACATTGTATATCTGCAGCTCTGTCTACTACTAATAACTTTGTGAGTATTATTAAAAACTCAGTAGTAGCACTGGAATTGTGCCCGGTGTATGGCAATAGGCTCACCCCCTATTACATGGGACTCATAACATAAATAGTAAAAAGTGGGCGTTACATTGTACAGTGGCATTAAGTGCACCTCTGGCTACCTCTTCGAGCATAAAAGGCGTGATGTTATGTGTATTAAAAACAAAGGTTTGTTTTTGAATGTCTGGAAAGCTACTATGTGTGAGGTATAGTATTAATGCATATTTTTATTCATGTTTTAATGAGCCATAATGGAGGTTGTTGTGGAAATATTTAGATGACATTGTATGACCATCAAGATTAATGCTACGGATTCACGGCGCGTTTTTCTCCCGCCCCGGTTGCGGGCCCGCTACCTGTAGAATACAGATATGTATGTAAAAAATTAAAGCACATTTCACGGCGCATTTTAGTTGCGATTGTTTGCGGCTCCCGCTGCACCGGCGGGCGGCTGCACCCGCGCGCTCTGGGATCAGTTGGCGATTGGCGATCGCAGGGTAGTTTCCTAAATTTTATTCTAATGTCCGTCTGGTACATTAATTTAAAACTTTAGACGAATTTTTTTCTTTTCTCACAAAATTAAATACTTTCGAAGATATAATAATTTGAAATATTGTGTGACGTCACAGCGTGCCACATTTTGTAGCACGTTATGACGTAACGACTCCTAAACTTACCGCCATTTTATCTAAGTATTGCAACTGAATACGAGAAAATAAAAAAATACGTGTCTAATATTTTTTCATTATCTAACTGACGGACTAATTAGATTTTTAATATAGATACCGTGGAAACTACCCAATGGGACGGCTGGTCTGGAACTCAACTGATGGTTTAACAACCCGGCCGGTCTTGCGATAACCGGCCGCGGGTGAATATCGCGTCGTGAGTCCGCAGCGTAAGAGGGAGTACCAACTATCTGGTCGATCTGTCGTCAGGAAGAGGAATACCAATTACTAAAGACCCAATAAACGGAGCAAGATAAATAAAACCGTTTAGTATACACTAGACACTAGAGGCTCATATTCATGAGCAGTCTTCTGCGACCCACGACGTGGCGACTGCATGGCTTGAAACTAGTCGAATCCCTCGTCAAACTGAACAAGCCGAAATCATAATAATTAATATAGTATTGTCTCACCTTTATTATAAGTTATACATGTGTATAATCAACCATTCAATTTGGCATATTGTCAATGAAACCTTTTCAATAAATTGTAAATTTTATGACACATTTTGGTGTCATTAAGGCTAAAGATTCACGGCGCGATTTCCTCCCGCGACCACCGTGCTTTTGGGCCCGCCGCCTGTAGAATACAGATATGTACGATTGTTTGCCTGAGACGCCATTTTTCTCTTTTACAGTGACTTCCCTTATTAAAATAAGGTTGTATGTAGTATGTATACGAACATATCGCCAAAATTGTTAATGTACCGCTATCCTCAATGTTTTTATAGGCAATAAGCAGTGGGGTTTTATACCAAACAGTGGGCAAATGACTATAAAGGGTCTTAGTAGGTGACGCTCTGTAGCTTCTACCTACCATGGAACAAAGGCATAAGTTTACTTGTATTATCAGATGGTATTCAAACTTTCTATATGGCAAAGATGGCTTTGAAAACTATGAGGATATTAGTTTGTCATTACCTAACTAAAATTATGTCCAAGCTTATCCTCATTGGGTTATGTAGGCATGATACCATTTATTTAGTGCAATAAATTCACCCTCTATTACATGGGACTCATAACTGGAGAAAAATGGTTGTTACATAGTATACATACATTTGTGCTCCTCTGTCTACCCCTACAGAGATAGACTTGACCTTTATGTCATGTTATTATGTTAACGCTAAATATTTTTCGTAAAATTCTATCAATGAATTAATAACTGGGTCCCTCATTAATCGTTGGGCCTCTGTTAATAGACAGGTCGAGAACAAACCTCACTGCTTGCTCCATCATTTTAAAGTTGTAGTGATAAAATAATTATTACTGTAATCAGTGTGAATGATTATCGTGTATTATAATTAAATGGATTTTTTAATGACTGAGAATAAATAGATGTAAGGTGATTTTGTGTTTTATTTTTAGAAATTTGGAACCTTATCAATGTAAGTAGGTATATTAAGTTTGTCTCAAATATTTGGGTTAAGCAAATAATTATATTTTTTGTCGATGTTAGAAATTGACAGTACGGAGTCTAGAATATTGGTTAATTTTTAACATATTTCATGTTTATTATTAAAGACTGCCTCATAGGCCGGTAGGTAAGGGGTCTCGGGTTCGATTCCCGGGTCGGACAAAGTATTACTGAGTTTTTTTCAAAAATCTCCGTAGTAGCTCGGAGTCTGAATATGCGCCCGGTATATGGCAATAGGATTACCCCCTATTACATGGGACTCATAACATAAATAGTGAAAAGTGGGTGTTACATTGTACTGTGGCAGTGCTGTAATATGCACCTCTGCCTACCCATTCAGGGATAAAAGGCCTGATGTTAAGTTATTGAAAGAATAACACTTCAATCACATTATACAGTTTATTAATTTAAATCACTTTATTTTACAAGCATATACTTAAATTAACTTACAATATTTAAGAAATAAATAAAGTTTGTAGCAAAAATGGCGTAGCTTTGGCTTACATTTTAATTAAGTTCTAAACTTAAACTACTGAAATCTAGAATGAATTGCTTGTCCAGAATAAGAACTATACGAAACAGAGACGATAAATATTTTTCAAATTAAGAATAAAATTGGACGCTTATTTCTCTTTTTTACAAACTCATCGAGTTAAAATGTCATATAATATTACCAACACAAGTGCAACATGGAGAAATCATTTTCATACGTGAGAGACTTCTTGTCGGTTCAAGGTTTAAATTATTTATTTCGACATAACTAAGAATACGTGTCTAAATATTGTTCTTCTTCAATCGAACTAAATGGATATTTTGATACTTTTTAATCGTCAACACTATTGTTTCTATCAAGTCAAAAGCATTACAAACTAAATGACAACATGATTGTTATTTATTTACAGCTTATATTAGATACATTAAAGTATAAAATGGAATAAATAGTCCAATTTTGAATATATTTTAATCACATGATTTAATATCTCGTTTAGACTATTTCACATACATGTACTTACAATATGTTATTTCCATATTGATGAAAAGGATCGGTATTGTAATAAGATGACGTCTGATTAAAGACTATGTAAAAAGACAATGCGTTTACTTCAAGTAACTTCGTATTAGGAAACAGTTCAACATATGCATGACATAAAATCACGCCTTCTATCCCCGAAGGGGTAGGCAGAGGTACACATTATACCACTGTACAATGTAACACCTACTTTTCACTATTTATGTTATGAGTCCCATGTAATAGGGGGTGAGCATATTGCCATATACTGGGCACAATTCCAGAATCCGTGCTAATACTGAGATTTTTTTAAAACCCAGTAATACTTTTCCCGACCCGGGAATCGAACCCGAGGCCCCTTGCCCGGCCAGTCGCACTTGCGACCACTCGGCCAGCTGAGGCTAGAAAATTGTATTATTTAACCCATATATCCCCACTCTCCACTAACATTACATTCCATTATAGACCTTATTTCCAATGTTTAGAGACTACTTTTGTATGACCAAATTCAGGGCGATGGATTTCAACGGGTTAATTATTTTATGTTAAAGGGCTAGTTAAACCTATAAAATGTTTAGCTGCTTTATTTTAGTATGTACTGAATATTGCATTCGATGATAGGGCTGAACGTTTGTCTCTTAGGAAAAAGCCCTACTTATCTATAAGAAAGAACAAACTGAATGTAGAACCTGCCGTGTCCCGCAGTGTGCGCGGCCGCCGCGGCGTGCGACGCGGACGCGCGGCCCGCGCTGTGGGGCTCCGTGGTGGCGTGCGGCGGGCTGGCGAGCACGCCGGGCTGGCTCGAGCGCCTCGCCAAGGACCTCGCCGCGCGCGCGCCCAGCTCGCATCGCCTCAAGACCACCGCCGCGCCCAACCCCACGGAGCGACGGTTCGCCGCCTGGATCGGTGACCTACTACTACTCACTTTA